GTACACAGGAAGGCTTTCAAGTAACTAAGGCCATTTACAACTGATTGTTTCTGGAGCACCCTTAATGGCTTCCACTTAATATGTTTACATCAGTGATACAAGTTTATATCTTTTTCTCCTAACTCCAAATATAGAAATAATACATGCAAACAAATAAAATGAACACACTTAGTAAATTACAAGTTTTCTAATGACACCATACAAGGGGTATTTAGCGTAAAACATATTCCAGTTATGTCACATTCATAAGCATATTTCCATAAAGCATATGGAGTGTAACGTCACACATTCCATCCACATAGAGGCCATGCACCTCCCAGGGGAACAAAACATTCTAGCAGATTGCCTCAGCAGGTCCTTTTCCTCTCACCACGAGTGGTCTCTCCACCTGGAGATTATCCAGCAGTTGGGGACTCCCCAGGTGGATCTGTTCGCCACAGCAGAGAACAAGAAGTGTCACCTCTTTTGCTTGAGACTCAGCCTGGGCAGGGGCATGCTATCCGATGCCTTCCTCCATCCATGGTCAGATGGCCTGCTGTATGCTTTTCTGCCAATTCCTCTGGTTCACAAGGTGCTCCTGAAGATAAAAGCAGACAAGGCAAAGGTCATCCTGATCGCTCCGGCGTGGCCTCGCCAGCATTGGTTCAGCATGCTCCTGGACCTTGCAGTCGCAGTCCCGTGGACTCTCCCACTCAGACCGGCCTTAATCTCACAGGATCAAGGATGGCACCTCCATCTGAACCTTGCAGGGCTGCTGCATGGCTGAATCTGGAGGGGTGAGTGTGCTCTGAACACGTGCAGCAGGTCTTGATAGGTAGAAAACACTCTATCAGGGCGACCTACTTAGCTAAGTGGAAATGCTTCTCGTGCTGGAGAGTCGAATGGGGTCTTTCTCTGATGCAGACATCATTGCAGTCCATCCTAGAGTACCTTCTTCAACTAAAGCCCCAAGGCCTGTCACTGTCTTCTATAAAAGTCCACTTGGTGGCAATATCAGGGTTCCATCCCCTGATCTATGGCAGGTTGGTTTTCACACAGGAAATGATGGGCAGATTTATCAAAGGACTGGAAAGGCTCTATCTGCAGGTTTGTGCCCCATCCCGATTTGAGACTTGCATCTGGTGCTGTCTAGGCTCACCAAACCACCCTTCGAGCCTTTGGCATCATGCTCCCTTCTGCTACTCCCCTGGAAGGTCCCTTTCCTGGTGGAGATCACTTTGGCCAGAAGGGTTTCTGAGCTTCAGGCTTTAACCTCTGAACCCCCTTATACCACCTTTTTCAAGGACAAGGTCTGGCGGTGTCCCCACCCAGCCTTTTTGCCCAAGGGGGTGTCACAATTTCACATCAAACAGGATATCTTTCTGCTTGTCTTCTGCCTGAAACCTCAGAAGTCAGAAGAAGAATGGCGTCTGCATTCTCTGGATGTAAGAAGGGCCCTAGCCTTTTATATTGACAGGACAAGACCCTGTCACAAATCAATACAGGTTTTTGTTGCGGTAGCGGACAGGATGAAGGGCCTTCCAGTGTCAGCCCAGAGGATCTCCTCTTGGATCACAGACTGTATCTGAGCCTGCTACAAAAAAGGGGTTCCTGTCACCGACCATTATAAAGACACATTCCACAAGAGCTCAGGCATCCTCAGGGGCCTTCCTGGCACGTATACCAATACAGGACATCTGTAGGGCCGCAACTTGGTCATCAGTGCATATGTTTGCATCGCACTACACCATCACCCAACAGGCCAGAGATTACGCCAGCTTCGTCACAGCAGTGTTGCAAGCTGCACATCTGTGAACTCGGAGCCCACCTCTAGGGTGCTGCTTGTGAATCACCTAGCATGGAATCGACATGAGCAAGCACTCGAAGAAGAAAAAATGGTTACGTACCTCTTGTAACTGTTGTTCTTCGAGATGTGTTGCTAATGTCCATTCCATTACCCGCCCTCCTACCTCGCCGTCAGAGTTGGTGGCAAGAAGGAACTGAGAAGGTGCAGGGCTGGAGGCACCCCTTATACTAGTGCATAAGCACAAGCCTCCAGGGGTTTGCCAGAACCAGCCCTATGGATACCCCTAGGGGAAAAATCTCCAGCAGCGGTGGAGCACTGCGCACATACCCAGCAAGGAATTGACATGAGCAACACATCTAGAAGAACAACAGTTACGGAAGGTAGGTAACTGTTTTTTAGACACAAAACTGTGTTACAGACACAGATAGGAAGTGCCTGTGTAACCTATTGCCTGGGCACTGGCACTGTCACCGGACATTGATGGTGCTGGATATGCCCACTCCTTGCTCCAGAGAGAGGTGCATGACTCTCTACACACACACACATCTCTGACAAGATGTCCTCTTGTGCGGGGGGATGGGGAGAAATGCCTCAGATCCAGCTTTGCTGATGAGTTCAAACCTGCACATGTGAGTAAGGGTGAGTAGATATCTCAGACTAACAACAACAGACCCTCACTGAGGCCTTGATCCCAAGCTTCACTTCACATGAGTCGCCCCATTGCCTTCAAATCCTGTGGGCAGGGCCGGCTCCAGGCACCAGCACACCAAGCATGTGCTTGGGGCAGCGCCTGGAGGGGGGCGGCGTGGCGGGGCGCTCCGCCCGAGAGCGGGGTGCGACTGGGATTGCTGCCCTCCCCACGGCGCTCCTGCCGCCGGGGGCTCTCCGCCCTCCCCTTGGCACTCTGGCCGCTGGGGAGAGTGGAGAGCCCCAGCCGGGCTCCCCGCCCTGCTCCCGGCGCTCTGGCCGGTGGGGAGAGCGGAGATCCCGGTTGGGCTCTCCGCCCTCCTCCCGGCGCTCTGGCCGCCGGGGAGAGTGGAGAGCCCCGGTCGGGCTCTCCGCCCTGCTCCCGGCGCTCTGGCCGCCGGGGAGAGCGGAGAGCCCCGGTCAGGCTCCCCACCCTCCTCCGGGCGCTCTGGCCGCCAGGGAGAGTGGAGAGCCCCGGTCGGGCTCTCCGCCCTGCTCCCGGCGCTCTGGCCGCCGGGGAGAGCGGAGAGCCCCGGTCAGGCTCCCCACCCTCCTCCGGGCGCTCTGGCCGCCAGGGAGAGCAGAGCCGCGGCGGGCTCGCCGCCCTCCCCCCGGCGCTCCGGCCGGTGGGGGATTGCTCGGCGCCCTCCCCTGCCACGCTGGGGGGGGCGGGGGCGGCGGGTGGCTTTTTTGCCTAGGGCGGCAAAAAAGCCAGAGCCGGCCCTGCCTGTGGGTGGTGGTGTGTTGGGGATATACAGCAGCTCTCCAAACTTGCTCTCTCTGTCTCACACACACAAGCAGATCACTAGCTTTCACCCAGTTCAGTAGACAGTTGCATATTCAATAAGTATAGAATAGACAGTATTGTCAACCTGATCCTTTTCCAAATAGTGAGTTGGGTACCAAAAAATCATGAGATTGGTTAAAAATTATGATATTTAAAAGAAATCATCAGTGTTGGGCTCTTTTTCTTGGTATGAAGATTTCTGAGTCTTTAAGGATCGCTCAGGTCATGTTTTCAAACATTTCTCCACCACCTGGCAGGCTAGAAACTTATTTTTTAAATGAAAGTTGACAATCTCCCCTAATGACAGGCCTCCAGAACCTAAGGCCTTAAGAAACACAATTACCAGAATTGGCAACATAGGAGTCTCTGGAGGCACAGCGGATATGGGAATTACAGAGGAGCATAGGGATAGATGAGGGCATTGGGGTTTATAGGGACCTATGGGTAGTGTAGCAGATATGGGGATTCTAGGGTGGCATAAGTGTAGGTGGGGTTATAGGATAGTGTGAGGTATAGGGACCTGAGGGGAGGTAGTATAGGATGGATATTGGGGTGCATAGCAAGTATGGGGCTTATAGGAAGTCTAGGGAATACAGAGGTTATAGGGGGTATAAAGGCAGCCAGGAGCTATGGAGTATTGGGATATATGGGGGCCAATGGGCATTATAGGGGATATAGAGGCAGTTGGAGGTATTGGGGCTGTATTGAGGGATATAGGTGTGTACATGGAGTGCAGGGTATAGAGGTATAGAATCATAGAATATTAGGTTTGGAAGAGACCTCAGGAGGTCATCTAGTCCAATCCCCTGCTCAAAGCAGGACCAACACCAACTAAATCATCCCAGCCAGGGCTTTGTCAAGCCAGGCCTTAAAAACCTCTAAGGATGGAGATTCCACCACGTCCCTAGGTATCCCATTCCAATGCTTCACCACCCTCCTAGTGAAATAGTGTTTCCTAATATCCAACCTAGACCTCCCCCACTGCAACTTGAGACCATTGCTCCTTGTTCTGTCATCTGCCACCACAGACAACAGCCGAGCTCCATCCTCTTTGGAACCCCCCTTCAGGTAGTTGAAGGCTGCTATCAAATCCCCCCTCACTCTTCTCTTCTGCAGACTAAATAACCCCTGTTCCATCAGCCTTTCCTCGTAAGCCATGTGCCCCAGCCCCCTAATCATTTTCGTTGCCCTCTGCTGGACTCTCTCCAATTTGTCCACATCCCTTCTGTAGTGGGGGGACCAAAACTGGACGCAATACTCCAGGTGTGGCCTCACCAGTGCCGAACAGCAGGAAATAATCACTTCCCTTGAGATGCTGGCAATGCTCCTACTAATACAGCCCAATATGCCAGGGCTGGTGGAATTTATAGCAGGTTATGGAGTTATTAGGAGTATAGGGTCTGGTGGTGAGGGTGTCTGTAGAGTCAGGCAAGGGTCCATAGAGTGCATAGGGCCTGGTGGTGAGCCTATAGGACCCAGTGGGGGTGTATAGGATCTGGCAAGGGATATATAAGGTGTATGGAGCCTGGTAGGGGATCTACAGGGTCTGGTGTTGGGGGGGTGTATAGGGTGTCTAGGATCTATAGGGTCTGGTGGGGGTATAGCGCCTGATGGGGGTATAGCGCAAGCTGGAAGTCTATAGGATCTGGTGGGGGTGTATAGGGTCCAGTGGGAGGTATCGATAGGGTCTGGAAGGGGGCGGGGTCAGTGGGGGCGGAGTCATAGGGGCGGGACCAGGGAGGCAGGGGTGGTCCGTTGGCGGGGGTGGAGCTCTGGCTTGTTCCCGGCGGGCGCTGTGGCAATGGCCGGGGCCCCGCTGTTGGAGGCGCTGGGCCGCCTGTGGCAGGTGCAGGCCCAGCTCGGCAGCGGTGCCTCCGCCTCCGTTTTCCGCGTGCGGTGCTGCGGGGACCCGCGCGCTCCGCTCGGCGCCGTCAAGGAGTTCGTGCCCCCGGCGC